CGCCGCGGCCGCGGGCCGCCGACCCACCCACCCCCCAACAAAAAGCCTCGAGGGTTTTGGGGGGAGGGCCCAGGGGGAAAAAGAACCTCCCCCCCCCCCCCAAAAAAAAAAAACAACAACAACAACAACAACAACAACAACAACAACCACAACCACAACAACAACAACAACAACAACAATCATTTTAAGACTGATCGCTCTTATATGCGCGCGCGTCACTCAATATGTAAATCCCAAACCCTCGATACCCACCCTCTTCGTCTTCGGTCATACCCCTTTGGGGGTATATCTTTTTTACTCGCCACGTGTAGTTGGCGCAGCCCCTAAAACAGGAAGAGCAGGGGGAAGGAGGAAGGGAGAGCGAGGAGGAAAAGAGTGGGGGGAGGGAGGGAGGAGGGAAGGGGCAAGGGGGGGAGGATGGATGGAGGACGAAAGAGGTTAGCAGGAGGGGAGGGGGGCAAAAGAGGAGGTAAACAAACGGACGAACCAGACAGACGGGTCGAGCGGCGGACTCTGAGGGGCGGGTCGGGCTGGCGGGGCGGGCGGACGCCAACGGACGGGTCGGGCGGCGGACCCTCGCTGGCGGGTCGGGCGGGCGGTGGCTTAAAGCGGGCGGGCGAGATGCCAAGAGAGCGAACGGGCGGGCTGTAACAGGCGGATCGGGCGGGCGAAACCTGGCGGGCGGGTGACTAAAGGGTGAATCCTGAATGAATCACGAGGCACACCCTCGATACCCGCCCTCTGAGTATTCGAACGTACCCCCTTTAGGGGGATCATTTCTCTTTGGAAGGGCGGGCGGAGGGATGAGGGAGGAGGGAAGGGAGCAGGGAGGGACGAGGGAGGAGGGAAGATGCTAGGAGGGACGGGACGCGGAGGGGGGAGGACGATTTAGAGGGAGAGAGAGAGAGAGAGAGGGAGAGAAAGAGAGAGGGGGGAGGAAGGGAGGGAGGAGGGAGTTTGGAGGAGGGACGAGGAAGGAGAGAGGAGAAACAGGAGGGAGGAGGGAGGAGGCAGGAGAGGGGAGGGAGGAGGCAGACGGGAGGACGGAGGAGGGAGGCAGGAGAGGGGAGGGAGAAGGGAGGAGGAGGGAGGGAGGGAGGAGGGGAGGGAGAAGGGAGGAGGGAGGAGGGAGGAGGGACGAGGGAGGAGGGAGGAGGGAGGGAGGTGGGAGGCCGACCCGGGGAGGCCGCCCGGGGACCGGCCGTGGAGAGACCGCACAGGCCCCCGCAGCCTCGGGGGCGGAGGGCCCGCCCCCGAAACAGAGGAGGGAGAGTCCCAGGCGGGAGCGCCGATCCTGGATTACCGCAGATACGCTGCACACGTGTCCCTGGGCGGCTGGGCGGTGTCCTCGGAACAATTGTTTCGAGCGGCGCCCGGCCGTGGCGACGGGAACCTGCAGAAAGGACCCCCGAAAAAGTATTGTGAGCGTCGCTGCCGCTGCCGTCGCCTGAGTAAACTGCGAGGAAGTCCCAGGCGGGGGCGGGGGTCCTGAGTAATTTTTGAGTAAATTTGGAGGAAGCATCAGGCGGGAGCCGTTGTTGTTGTTGTCCGGGGGGCCAACAACGCAGTTTGATGCCCACGACTTTCCCTGATAAAAAACAGGGTGCAAGCCCCGGAAGGGGCACTTCAATTGAAAAAACTACCATGTCCGCCGGAGGGGGGGGATCAACAATAATTATTCTTCAGTAATTAGAGTTCAACAACAACAACAACAACAACAACAACAACAACAACAATCATTTAAGACTGGGGACACTCCGTTCTCACCAGTGCCAGGGTTTTCATAGGAGGCGGGCAATACCCCCACTTTGTTGGGGGGCCGGTTCAAGCTCTACCAAGTTTCCAAACGACTCTTCGCCACCACCCACACCCAGCTTCCCGCCCTATGACGTTCGGACACTTCACTTCGTGGCCTGCGGACGACCTTGGCTACTACACTGGCGCATGGTTACAATGACTTCTTGTGGTAACATCTTGTGGAAACTAGCTTAGTATACGACTTATACCCCTGTTCCAACAATGGGCACGTGTACCGTTTTCCGACGTTTTAACGTTTCTGTACCACACAAGCCAAGACCCTTATTTTGACTGGTATCACGTGCGTGGCGCCAGCATACCACAGGACTTGTTTCCGTTGTTGTGAGACGATATATGCTCATTCTTGTTCTGTGGTTCTCGTTCCGGCCTCAATGTGCAATACTGGCTCACTCGTCGACGAAATACACGTGACTACCTCTCTCTGGTTGGAGGTCCTGATGGTTGTGGTTGTCCCGATAATTGTCACGATGAGTTTCCCGATGATTGTCCCGATTGTTGTTCCGATGGTTCTCCCGATGGTTGCCCCGATGGTGGTCCCGATCGTGTCCCGATGGTTGCCCCGATGGCGCGAAGAAAAAACGAATGTGTCCCGCATGGTATTATTTGACAGGGATGATGGCCCTGGCAAGTGCGCAACCGTTGTCGCAGAAGTTCGAAAAAGTTGCTCGCAAAAGCCCGTTTGACAGAAATGTTTAAAAAGTGTTGGGTTTCCTACGAATCCGCAAGAGCGCGCGGGATGAGATTTTGACATTTTTTGTTGAAAAACCATTGGTTTTTTGATGTTTTTATGTTAAAATCGCTCCGAACACTAAGGTTTTGGAAGGATTTCGTCTTGCGCGCGCGAATGTCCACTTTACCTTATTTTTTGCAAGGGATTCTTGAAATTTGATTATATTAGAACAAGAAATGTCATTTTATAGTGTTTTTTGCAAGGGAAAACGGATTACAACAAAACAACCGGATCTGGATCACATCGTTTTACCTGAGGCTTCCTCACGAAAATGATGAAAATGTAGCTGCGGCCTAGGCGGCGCAGGGGGGGCGCGCACCAGGGGGCCCAACAATAATTATTCTTTAGAATAATAATGTTCAACAACAACAACAACAACAACAACAACAACAACAACAATCACTTTACCCGGACACTCCGTTCTCACCAGTGCCAGGGTTTTCATAGCGACGCCAGCCAATACCCCCACTTTGTGGGGGGGCGGTTCAAGCTCTACCAAATTTCCAAACGACTCTTCGCCACCACCCACACCCAGCTTCCCGCCCTATGACGTTCGGACACTTCACTTCGTGGCCTGCGGACGACCGTGGCTACTACAGGGCCCCGCCCGACGGAGATTTCGGCGTGCGCGCGCGAAGAAAAAACGAATGTGTCCCGCATGGTATTATTTGACAGGGATGATGGCCCTGGCAGGTGCGCAACCGTTGTCGCAGAAGTTCGAAAAAGTTGCTCGCAAAAGCCCGTTTGACAGAAATGTTTAAAAAGTGTTGGGTTTCCTACGAATCCGCAAGAGCGCGCGGGATGAGATTTTGACATTTTTTTGTTGAAAAACCATTGGTTTTTTGATGTTTTTATGTTAAAATCGCTCCGAACACTAAGCTTTTGGAAGGATTTCGTCTTGCGCGCGCGAATGTCCACTTTACCTTATTTTTTGCAAGGGATTCTTGAAATTTGATTATATTAGAACAAGAAATGTCATTTTATAGTGTTTTTTGCAAGGGAAAACGGATTACAACAAAACAACCGGATCTTGATGACATCGAATTACCTGAGGCTTCCTCACGAAAATGATGAAAATGTAGCTGCGGCCTAGGCGGCGCAGGGGGGCCGTGCACCAGGGGTCCCAACAATAATTATTCTTTAGAATTAATAATGTTCAACAACAACAACAACAACAACAACACAACAACAACAACAACAACAACAACAACAACAACAACAACAACAACAACAACAATCATTTTACCCGAACGCTCAGTGTTCTCCCCAGTGCCAGGGTTTTCTTGCGACACCAGCCAATACCCCCACTTCGTGGGGGGGCCGTTCAAGCTCTACCAAATATCCAAACGACTCTTCGAGACCACCCACACCCAGCTTCCCGCCCTATGACGTTGGGACACTTCACTTCGTGGCGTGCGGACGACCCTGGCTACTACACTGGCGTGGGGTACACACCCACAGAGGTTGATCACATCTGTTACATATGATGTGGTACACGGTACACGTGAGATGGTACGCAGTGCCAAGATAGTTGGTCACATTTTTGGGGCAAATTCGTGGGGATGCGATTACAGAAGTACATGTGTTACACTGATGTTATACAGTCCCAAGGATGACGCATGCATTGCTCATAGACTCATGGCGCTATGATCCTAACTCTCAGTGCCCAACGCGCGCGTGCACAGCCAGACGGAGGGAGAGAAACACATGTATACAAGGTTCGTGACATACGCACGGTCCACCATGTTGTAAACGATCGCATGCACGGTAAGTTCTGAAATTATACGTATGTACAAGCAGACATGCGAGGGAGAAAGGGAGATGGCCATCCGCAAGAGCGCGCGGAAGGACATTTTGACAATTTTTTCTTAAAAAAACCATTGGGTTTTTGATGTTTTTATGTTAAAATCGTTACGAAACCTAAGGTTTTGGAAGGATTTCGTCTTGCGAGCGCGAATGTCCACTTTACCTTATCTTTTGCAAGGGATTCTTGAAATTTGATCAACTAAGAACAAGAATTTTCATTTTCTATTGTTTTTTGCAAGGGAAAACGAGCGTCAACAAAAAACCGGATCCGGGGGTAATCCACTTTTCTGAAGCTTTCGCAGAAAAATGATGAAAATGTAGCTGCGGCCTAGGTTTTGGGCGGGGGGCGTGCACCAGGGGGTCCAACAATAATAATTCTTTAGAAGTAATAGTGTTCAACAACAACAACAAACAAACAAACAAACAAACAAACAAACAAACAAACAAACAAACAAACAAACAAACAAAAAAAACTAAAACTTTGAGGGAGGGGAGGGGTCCGGGGAGGCCTACCCCGCCTTTATTCCTCCCCTTCTCGAGGGGAGCGGGGCTTTTTGTTCTCCGGGGGAGGGGGGGGGGCGGGGCGGAACGCCATCCCCTACCGAGAACTCGACGGCCACGGCGAGGACGACGACGCCGTGCCCTCCTGTCGGCGTCCACCAGCGTGGCGAGGTCGTTGGCCGCACAGCCCTCGACGTTGAAGGTGCACAGGGACGCCCTTGGGCCCCACGGCTTGAGGGGCACTGAGGCCCTCGCGACGGGCAGCAGCGGGGGGGAAGGAGGCAGAAGGCGGGAGGGGGGAGGGAGGGAAAAGGGCAGTGAGGAAGGAGGAGAGAGGGAGGAGGGAGGAGGGAGGTGGAGGACGGGGGGAGGGAGAGGGGGGAGGAGGGAGGAGGAAGGAGGGAGTAGGGAGGAGGGAGGAGGGAGGAGTGAGGAGGGAGGGAGGAGAAGGGGAGAGGGGAGAGGGGGAGGAGGAGGAGGAGGAGAGGAGGAGGAGGGAGGCGGAGGAGGAGGAGGAGAGGAGGAGGAGGAGGAGGAGGAGGAGAAGGAGGAGGGGGGAGGAGGAGAGGAGGAGGAGGAGGAGGAGGAGGAGGAGGAGGAGGAGGAGGAGGAGGAGGAGGAGGAGGAGGACGAGGTTTCGACTGGGGTTTTGACGTGTTGGCCCTCCGGCAATGTGCACCAAAAAGACGCCCCGCAGGAGGCACTCCGAGCTGGACGGCGGGGGAGGCGAGGAGGGGCCTCTGGAAACTTTCGGAAGGAAGTTTTGCTGCCCTCGCTGGGCCCCTGGAAGCCTCCCGGATCCTCCAGGAGCACCATCTAACCGATCCCTGTCCCCACCGGTGTGGCCTGGCCACTGGCCGATTTGCCTCCCTAGATGGGGATACAGGCTGGGGTATATCCCCGGCTGGGGTGGTGAGATGGTGGGGCTCGGGATGGGGATGGGGATGGGGATGGGGATCGGCGAAACGATACTGCCTCCAGGAGCCTCCAGTGCCTTCTCCGGAGACCTCTGGGACCTCGCATGGGACAGCGCGGGGGAGCGACGAAGCTCGAAGCTCGAGGATCCGGGATCAAGGAATGGAGCGCTCTGCCCCGAACAGCGTCGTTTGCACTGAGAGATTCTGATCGGGGATGGACAGAACCCCCTTTAGTAAAACGGGGTTTCGTGAAAACGACCTCGGGCCCCAGACCTGGCGGGCGCAAGCCTGGAAAATGACGGCCGCGCCGCCCTCTCGAGAACCGGCAACGGACAATTCACTAATCGGCGTGTCAGGGTGGGGGCTCTGTCCACCCCCGACCTTATGTGAACCGTAAAAGGTCAGTCAGCCGGGGTTGTCAGGTTTCCCGCTGGTCGCATCCCGTGGGCTCCTCGTGGACGCCCTGTGCGCTGGCGAGGTTTGCCTTCAGTCGGGCCTGTCCCCTTACAGGGGGATTGTCGACGAAAAACAAAAAAATACCTCCAAAATATCCCAAAAAGGTCAAGACATATTCGAAAAATAGCCACCAAACTATATTTGGACTGCTTTTTGATTATTTTTAGAGGTACTTTTCATTTTTCGTCGAAGATCCCCCTGTAGGGGGACAGGCCCGACTTAAGGCAAACCTCGCCAGCGCACAGGGCGTCCACGAGGAGCCCAAAAAGTAGTCCAAAACTAGCCTGGGGACTATTTTTTTTGGTATGTTTTGACCTTTTTGGGGTATTTGGGGGCTATTTTTCATTTTTCGTCGAAGATCCCCCTGCAGGGGGACAGGCCCGACGTACGGTTTGCCAGGTGTCCGCCCGGCCGCCGAGCGTGGGCGCCTCGTGGGCCGTCGTGCGCCCGCCTGGGGTCGGGGATATTCTGACCCGGGTTAGCAGGAAACCAAAAACTGCAATGCAGGAGAAAAAACAAAACAAAAAAAAAAAACACTGCAACGCAGGTCATGGCAAACCCGGGTCAGCCAATGTGCGCGGCCGCCTCGCGGCCACGGGCAGCTCGCTGGCCCGGGTCAGCCAGAGGGGGCCTTCGCAGGATCCTGCAGGATCCGGCGCCCTGGCTGACCCCCGCTTGCACTGACCCCCGTCTCGAGGCTCCCGACGGGGGAGGAGGCCGCCGGTCGCCGGCCCCGTGGGCGCCCCGCGGGCGCCCCGCGGGCGCCTCGTGCGCTGGCCACGTGTCGCGATGCACGCACAGGTGTGTGGTCCTGTCTGGCCGTAGCGTCTCCTCCTCCTCCTCCTCCTCCTCCTCCTCCTCCTCCTCCTTTCCTCCTCCTCCTCCTCCTCCTCCTGCTCCTCCTCCTCCTCCTTCTCCTCCTTCTTCCCCCTTCTCCCCTTCCTCTCCTCCTCTTCCACTCATCGCCCCGCACAGCGTACACCCCATGGCTCCCACCGCACAGATGTCCTCACATGCAGTGCGGGCGCGGCCGCAAGAAACCCTCGCAAGTAGCCTAACCCTGAGAACCCGTGCGCGAGGTGCACCTGAGGGGAAACCTTTTGAGCACCCCGAGCGCAGCAGCTCCTTCAACGGCCGCGGGAAGTCACCGCGCAGCGCGAGGAGCGAAGAAACCCAGGACACCCTGACGAAAAGCACATGGTTTCTTGATGCGCGCCCCCACTGTAGGCTCTCTCTCTCTCTCTCTCCTGCAGAGAACTAGAATCCGCCGACCCCCGCTTGCAGGGGCTGAGCAAGCGTGCGAGATGATTGGCTGTCCCCCTTCCCCGTTCCCCCTCCCCTGGGGCCAAAAATCGCAGTATAGAGGGGGCCTGAGCTCTCCAACTCACCCTTGGGGCTCCCCAGAGCCCACAAGAGCCCCAAGACAGCCAAATGAGCGCCGAGACAATCCAAAAGAGCGTCGAGACGGCCCAGAATAAACCCGCGACGGTCCAAGATGATTTCAAGATGGCCTACGAGGCCCCGCCCCCAAGGCGGAAATAGACCCATTTCCCTTTGGAAACGTGCGTTTTCGACATGCACGCCTTTTTCGTTTTAAAGGCGTCCACAACGGCCCAAGGAGCCCCCAAGATCGTCCCAAGACAGTCCATAAGGCCCCCAAGAGGGCTTGGCCCAATAGAGCCCCAAGACGGCCCCAGGGCCGTCTGAGACGGCCCAGGAGGTCCCCAAGACCTCGAGAGTCTTTCCCGCCGTGATGGCCCCAAGAGCCCCCCAGTGACCCTCAAGGCGCCCCCAAAGGCCCCAAGAGGCTTCCAAGAGGCACTCAAGAGACCCCCAAGGGGCCCTCCAAGAGGCCCCCGAGAGGCATTCCAGGAGAACCTCGTATGCATCCCCGAGGCTCCTGAAGCACAGGCCAGGCACGGTGCCACGACTCTTGACGAATTCCCTGTTGTGGGGGTCGGCGGAGTGGCGCCGAGGTCGGACCTGTGTACCCCTCTGGGTAACGTTTCCCGAATGTACTCTGCACGATCGCCCATCCTGAAGATTGAATAAACTTATGAAATCATACCAGCCAGTCACGATACTGCCACCCACCCACCCACCCACCCACCAGCCCACCCACCCACCCACCCACACCATCCCTGTCAGATAACACTATGCGGTGCAAATGCGTTGATCTAAGGTACACTCTCTGAACCCATTGCACCAAAGAGTCCACGGGGCACATGCGCATGCCGTCGCTCGCGCATACCAAATTCTAACTATTCCAAAACGGTGCAGTTCACGAACTACCATCGAAAAAAATGTTCAATCAACAGATGCCCAAACACAAGTTGCCAGAAGTCTGTGCACGCGCGCGCACACACTTGATGACAAAGTGTGGCACCTTTGCCAAATGAGAGCATACGCGCCACACACGCGCTCGCACACCAAAACCGTTCAACAACCATCGCGCACCCGCCAACTGTCAAATAATTGTATGCGGGCCATACGGGCCCAACGCTGCGCATGCACGACGAATTCCTTACGAAACAATTGGTTTTCGAACACTTGCAAAAGCCAAACTATTTTCGATGACCATATGCTCAGGATGCGGGGTTTCGTCACGTGCGCACTTCTTCACCCTCCTGGTCAGCACCATTGCCATCATCATCGCCAGCGTCAGCATTGCCATCTCCATCGTCATCGTCCACGTCGCCAGCATCATCGTCGGCATCAACACCACCGCAATCATCAGCATCATCATCATCATCATCATCAGCAGCAGCAACATCATCATAATCATAATCATCATCATCATCATCAGCAGCAGCAGCAGCAGCAGCATTATCATCATCATCATCATCATCATCATCAGCATCATCAGCAGTGTCATCGTCATCATCGTCATCATCATCCTCATCGCCACCATCATCATCAGCAGCAGCCACATCGCCATCATAGTCATCATAATCAGCATCATCGTCATCACAGTTATCGTCATCATCAACATCGTGATCAGTATCAGCATCATCATCATCAACATCAGCATCAGCATCGCCATCCTCACCATCATCATCAGCGTCATCATCAGCATCAGCGTCATCATCATCATCATCACCATCATCATCAGCATCATCATCAGCATCAGTATCATCATAAACATCGTCATCATCGACAGCATCATCATCAGCAGCAGCATCAACGTCATCGACATGATCACCATCATCATCATCAGCATCATCAGCATCATCAGCATCATCAGCATCAGCATCATCATCGTCAGCGTCATCAACATCATCATCATCAGCATCAGCACCATCACCAGCATCATCATCATCATCATCATCACCGTCATCGTCATGATGATGATGATCATCATCAACATCATCAGCGTCAGCATCATCATCATCAGCATCATCATCATCATCGTAATCGTCATCAGCATCGACATCAGCATCAGCAGCAGCAGCATCATCGTCAACGTCAATAGCGTCGCCCTCGTCAATTTTCTACACGCGCGCACTGCCTCATCATCCTCACTAGCACCATCGTCATCATCATCGCCGGCATGAGCGCGTGGACGCAACGTAATGTACCAAGGATCGTGGCCCGAGGACCGCGGATTCAGTGCAGTCTAGAAAAGGATTGTGGCGCTGGAAGCGCGGATCCAACGTAACATCGAAGAAGGAACTTGGCCCTGGACGCGCGGACGCAGCGTAATTTACTATGGATCGTGGCCCAGGAGCCGCGGATCCAGCGTAATCTACAAAGGATTGTGGCGCTGGGAGGACAGATCCAGCGTCATCTACTGAGGATCGCAACTCTGGGCCGCTGGGTGTTAGGCATCGTGGCTCTGGGAGCGCGGATCCAATAAAACTTACGAAAGATCGTGGCCCTGGGAGCGCGGGTCCAGCGCAGGACAGAGCAGGGTGGGACGTCCGCAAGCTCGTCCAAGCGGGTACATGGTACGCTCCGTGGCACGCCACATGGTGCGTCCCCTGGCCCCCCCCCAATGGCTTGCGCGCCCCCTGGCACGCATGCGGCGCGTCCCCTGGCATGTCCCCTGGAATGTCCCTTGGCGCGTCCACTGGCACGCCTACCGGCGCACCCCATGGCACGTGCACGGCAAACCCCTTGGCACATACCATTACCCGTCCCATGGAGCGTCTCGCTGAACGCACCCTGACGCGTCCCATGGCCCGTTCCCTGGCGCTTCCCTCGGCGTTCCCTGGCGCGTCCACTGGCACGTCCACTAGCACACGTCCCCTGGCGCGTCACCTGGCCCACCCCCCAGCGAGTCCCCTGGCTCGTCGCCTGGCGCGTCTCCCGATGCGTTCGGTGGCGCATCCAAGGGCACAAACCTCGGCACGTTCCCTGGCGCTCACCTTGGCACGTCCCGTGGCGCGTCCACTGCCATGTCCCTTGGCGCGTCCCGTGGCATGTTCCCTGGCTCGTCGGCCAACGCTTCCCTAACAAGTTCCGTGGCGCGTCCCCTGGCGCGTTCCATAGCACGTCCATTGGCGCATCCCTTGGCGCGTCCCCTGGCGTGTCCCGTGGGACGTCTCCTGGCACGTTCACTGGCTCGTCCCCTGGCGCGTCCACTGGCACGGCACGCATCTTCGCACATCCCGTGGCGCGTCCCTCACACGTCCATGGCACGTCCCCTGAGACGTCCCCTGGCATGTTCCCTGGCAAGCTTCCTGGCGAATAACCTGGCGCGCCAATGGCCCGTCCTGTGGCGCGTAGATGCGCCCCCTGTCGGTTCATTCCGTGTCGGCACTGAATCGGACTTTTAGCTCGAGCTGGTTGAGCGCCCTGCACGTGCCGACTATACACCCAGCTCTGGGCGAGCCATCCTTTCAGGCAGCTCGAGCTAAATATTCAGATCAGTTCTGTCAGAAGTCGGACGCCAAGGAGGACTGGCACCACAACGCATCGGAGTACCGCACAGTTCAACGCAGCACAAAACAGCATTACTCGGCGCAGCACGGCACAACACGGTGCAGCGCAGCGCAGCACAGCGCAGCTGTTTCGGCGGTGGACAAACCTCCCTTTAGCCAACCTCCCCTTAGTGAAAACAGCCTGGGACCGAAACCGACGGACCCGGACCCGCAAAAATGGCCGCGACGCCCTCTCGCGAACCGAAAACGGGCAATTCCTTGATCGACGTGTCAGGGTAGCAGGCCTGTCCACCTCCGACTCTTGGCACGGTATCACCACCGCTGATGGCCTCAGCATCGGCACCCTCCACTGCTCGGGGGCGGCAAAGAGGGGGTGTCCAAGAGGGGGGGGGTGCAAATCATAACCGGCGGCACGTGCGCGGCCCAGCGGGGGGTCCAGGGACGTAATGGATCGAGAAGAGGCGCCCTGAGATCTGGGGAGATATCATGGCCAGCGCCATGATATCCACCCCCCCCTAATCATCACCCCCCTCTTTGCCGCCCCCGACCATTGCAAGAGTTAGGGCAGGCCCACATCCCTGCCGGGCTCGTGGGCCGCTCACGTCTTCGGTGGCCACGGAGCCATCGAAAACAGGGGCCCCGCGCAGGCCGAACACTGCAGAGAAAGCAAGTCAAAATGTTCAAGACGCTGGGCATGTTGAAGGGGCCCTGGGACACACAAATAAATATACACAAATAAAAATGTTCCCAATATTTTCCCATATTTTCTGGGTTTCTGTTTCCCCCCCACTTCCCATCATTTCCCATGTTTTCTGGGAGGTCGACGAATAATTGTGTCTGTGTGCTTTTCCCAACCATCCTGTTGTGTTGGGTCCTCGTTTTGAAGAAACGTCGCCCCGCGTTCCTCCTCTCCTCCTCCTCCCCCTCCTCCCCCCTCCTCCCTGCGTTTCACCCACCCAATACAGCGCTTCGTGGCCCCATAGGGAGCTCCACCGAAGGCTCCAGTGGCTGCGTTCGCATGGTGGCCCCGCCCCATTCTGGCGCACCCCTCATGAGGACCGTGGCCCCATAGGGAGCTCCACCGACGGCTCCAGTGGCAGCATTCGCATGTGGGCCCCGCCCCATTTCGGCACACCCCTCACGAGGATCATGGCCCCATAGGGAGATCCACCGAAGGCGCCAGTGGCAGCGTTCGCATGGCGGCCCGGGGCCATTTTGGCGCACCCCTCACAAGGATCGTGGCCACATAGGGAGCTCCACCGAAGGCTCCAGTGGCTGCGTTCGCATGGTGGCCCCGCCCCATTGTGGCGCACCCCTCACGAGGATCGTGGCCCCATAGGGAGCTCCACCGAAGGCTCCAATGGCAGCGTTCGCATGTAGGCCCCGCCCCATTTCGGCACACCCCTCACGAGGATCGTGGCCACATAAGGAGCTCCACCGAAGGCCCCAGTGGTTGCGTTCGCATGTGGGCCCCGCCCCATTGTGGCGCACCCCTCACGAGGATCGCGGCCCAGTAGGGCGCTCCACCGAAGGCCCCACTGGCAGCGCTCGCATGGCGGCCCCGGGCCATTTCGGCACACCCCTCACGAGGATCGTGGCCCCATAAGGAGCTCCAGCGAAGGCGCCAGTGGCAGCGTTCGCATGGCGGCCCCGGGAGACTTCGGCACACCCTTCACGAGGATCGTGGCCCCATAGGGAACTCCACCGAAGGCTCCAGTGGCAGCGTTCGCATGGCGGCCCCGGGCCACTTCGGCACAGCCCTCACGAGGATCATGGCCCCATAGGGAGCTCCACCGAAGGCCCCTGTGGCAGCGTTCGCATGTGGGCCCCGCCCCATTCCGGCACACCCCTCACGAGGATCGTGGCCCCATAAGGAAGGTCCACCGAAGGCCCCAGCGGCAGCGTTCGCATGTGGGCCCCGCCCCATTTCGGCACACCCCTCACGAGGATCGTGGCCCCATGGGGAGCTCCATCGAAGGCCCCAGTGGCAGGGTCCGCATGGCGGCCTCGGGCCATTTCGGCACACCCCTTCACGAGGATCGCCGAAGGCCCCCAGTGGCAGGGTTCGCATGGCGGCCTCGGACCATTTCGGCACACCCCTCATGAGGATCGTGGCCCCGTAGGAGCTTCACCGAAGGCGCCAATTGCAGTCTCCCTCATTGCTCTCAGAACCTTTTCCTGCTTCTGCTCTTCGGTCAGGGGGACGCCGTCCTCGTGGTCGTCGGCGCCCGCGAAGACGGCCACAAACGTGTCCCTGAGCATGTCGGGCTCCGGCGGGAAGCCGTGGCCACATAGGGAGCGCGGGCGAAGATGGTATTCACAATTGCTGTATCCACAATTGCGTATGGTTGGGTCCTTCGCCAAGCAAATTCTCCCTCCTGACACTCGAGCCGCGGCGGGGAGAAGCCTCCTGGAGACCCACGAATGCGGAGGCCACAAAGGGAGGTGCGCGCCCAACCACCTTCATGAACACGGCCCCCCGGTCCGCGAGGCCAGCCTTGCGGCTTGAACGTTCGCGCAACTCGCACTCTCGGAACCAACGTGGATTCATGTACTCCAGATTTCGTAATAAAAGGGAGGGGGTCTGGACCCTCCAAGACAAGCCATTTCAGACCTCCCCCGTGGGAGAACCCTCCAAAACATCGTCCCCAGACCCCCCAGGCCCTCCAAGATAGCCTGGAAGAGACCCCCCCCCCCAAACGAGACCCCCCTCCCTTTATTACGAAATCTGGAGTACGTGCACGTCCTTCTCGCGCTCCTGAACGAAGGAGGCCCAACGTCCTCCCAGAACCCTCGAGCCCCCGTGCTGCTCCACGCGCGGCCCTGGGAGGCGGCAGGGGGGTCTGAACTGGCTGGGACCCCAGGAAAACGGTCAAGAGGGGACGAAGCCAAATCCACTCGAAATTGGTGCATCCCTCGGGGTTCCATCTTGTGCAATTTCTCAACCCGGATCCGTTTCAGACGGTCTCGGAGCACGAAAACGGCCCCCAGAGGCCGGAAATGGAACCTCGAACCCACCCGCCCTTCCTGCTCGCCAGAACCAATGCTGGGCCACCTCAGACCCCCATCGGGGATCTACTGAACCGGGTCAGTTCAAACCCGGTCAGTCAGGCCCTGCAAGATCCTGCAAGATCCTGTGGGATCCTGCACCCAAACCCGGGTCAGTGCACCCCTGGCTATGCAGGATCCTGCAGGATCCCGCGCCCTGGCTGACCCCATGTTAGGGGGCCACATGCGAACCCTACCCCTACCCCCCACGATTTCTGAGAGGGAGGGTGGGGTTCACTTCGCTCGGGAGCTCACGAGCGAAGTGAAACCCACCCTCCCCCTCAGAAATCGTGGGGGGTGGGGGGGTAGGGTTCGCATGTGGCCCCCTAAGTAATCCCCGCCCCTTGAGCCCCGACCCCAGACGGCTGCAACCCCGCCCCCTCCGGTGCGGCTCTACCGAGGGCGGCGGGCCGTACAGCGTGACGCCCGGGAGCTCCGCCAGGCGCTCCCAGAGGTGCGCCGTCAGCTCGTGCTCCCGCCGAGACACCGCCTCGGCAGCTCCCGCCCGCCCGACCAACAGCAGCAGCACGACGAGCACCACGCCAAGACGAAGCCAGGACGAGGACAAATTCGGATGAGGATATATCGAGAATCTCCTTCCCCTCCTCCTCGTCCTCCTCCTCCTCCTCCTCCTCCTCCTCCTCCTCCTCCTCCTCCTCCTCCTCCTCCTCCTCTTCCTCCTCCTCCTCCTCCTCCTCCTCCTCCTCCTCCTCCTCTTCCTCCTCCCCTTACCCGACGTAAAACGAAGCCAGCACGAAGATACACTCAGGACGAATGTAAATCGAGAATCTCCGAGATCTGGCGACTCTGTCTGGAAGATGTCTCGGGCGCCGCGGCCTTCTCAGAGCATTCCGGAACGCTCTGAGAGCGTTCCAAAGGCTCCGGAACGGATTTGTCCTCGTCCTAGCGCCATCCGAAACATTCGGACCGAGGACAGAAGAACATCGTTCAGGAACATGGGACCCTCCGCAGGCAAAACACACGGACCATTCAAGGGTACCCTGCCTAGGATGCACAAGACCATCCAACAAGCACGAAGAAACATGAGGGTACCCTCCCCGATCCGACCTCGATCTTATACCTTCGTCCGACTGTATCTGTATCCGCGCCCCTGCAGTCTGGATTCTGGGGCGCGATCCCGCGGATACGCGGTCGCAGGGATGTGTTCCGCGCGAGGCATCTGAGAACAAAAAACACGATAAACATATATATATATACATATATATATATATATATATATGTGTGTGTACGTATGTGTGTATATATATAGATTGAGGAGGGATCAAAAACAAAACGAAACCAAAAAAAACACCGTATGCGCGGGGTCACGGCCCAGGGACCTGGCCCGCGAGGCCGCGGCCGCGGATATGTGCTTCGCCCACGAGGGCCGGCTTGAGCTGGCAGGGCAAGCTGGCGCCGTGGCGCCGTCCTGCGTCGACGGCAGGGCAGGGACGCAATGAAGATACGGCGAGGTAGCTCGGGCGAGTGGGTGATTAGAGGCCTCCCAGATGGGATTGGAGTCGATGGGCTCAGAGGATCTCGCCGCATCGCCGATGCATCGGCGATGCATCGGCGACGTCGGCGTGTAGAAAATCGGGCTCAGCATCGACATTCAGCGCCCATACATCGCCATTGCCGAGCGATCCTCCGACCGCATCCACTCTGACCCCATCTGGGAGGCCGAGAGTGACCGCCAGGACGAGGAGGAGGGCGAGGAGGAGGAGGCGGAGGCGGAGGAGGAGGAGGAGAAGCGGCAAGGAGGGGCAGCAGCAGGGAGAGCAGAAGGACAAGCACCAGCATGAGGGCTAGAGGTGCCTGGAGGATTTGGGCTCTCTGCTGGCCTGGCTGGAGGCGCCTCGTCCCCTCGGCTGGACCTCCCGTCGCAGAATCTCGCCAGAACGCACCCCATGGCAGGTCCTGGGGCAGGAGGTTCGACTCCTGGCGTAGGCCGCGTGCGTCTTGCGAGAATCAAGACGGAAGTGCCTTGCCATTTTCGGCATCGAAGAACTCAATCAAGGGCTCCCAACTTCGCGCTTCGCGCTGCGCGAAGCGCGAAGTATGACTAGCTTCGCGCTCTCGCGCCGCCTCCCAGGAGAGAAGAGGAGGACGAGGAATCCGAGCCAAACCGCGAAGTGCGAATAACTTCGCACCCGAGGGCGCTCTTGGCCATACGGCCCTCGTGGATTGATCCCAGACATGGCGCAGCAACTCTGGGTCGGGACCTCTGGCTGCGATTACTTTCACGACGCCGGATCTCTCTGGCAGTGAGCATGTTGCCGCCATCCGACTGTTCAGGAAAAGTTTCTCTTTAGAGGCCTCCTAGATGGGGTCCGAGAAGATGGGGTCGAAGGATCGCGCCGCATCGCCAATGCATCGCCGATGCATCGGCGACGTCGGCGATGTATCGGCAACATCGGCATTGGGAAAATCGGGCTCCGCATCGAGACGCATCGCCGATGCATCGTCGATGCGGCGCGATCCGTTGACCCCACCTACTCGGACCCCATCTGGGAGGCCTGGAATCTTACTCGCCGCCGTGCCTCTGGGCACGGAGTGGGCGTGTCCTCAGGCCCTTTGCCCAATCCTCTGAGCCTCAGTCCTCAGTCCTGCGGAGCCGTGGAGTGCCCTGGAGCCCAGATTGCCACACCTCGCGGGACCCGCCGCGGTGCCCCATGGGACTCGGCGCGCGCCGGCGCGTGACCCTTCGGACCCGAGAGGGCTCCAAGACGGACCCAGGGAGCCCCAAGACGCCCCCGAGACGGTCCAAGAGAGGCCCCCCAGACGGCTCCCGACGGCGTCGGACGGGCCAGGAGTGCCCAAGACGGCCGAAGAGGCAACCGAGAAGCCCCCAAAGACTCCCAAGAGGCCCAAGGAGGCATCCAAGATGCCTCCAAGAGGCTCCCAGGAAGCTCTCAGGAGGCCCCAAGGGTGCCCCCAGAGGCTCCCAAGATGCCCCCTCCTCCTCCTTCTCCTCCTGATCTTCCCCGCCATCCTCCTCCAAGTGCTCCTCCTGCCCATAACCCAAGAACGGTGGCGGGATGGACCGAAGGCCATTAGACCTAGGCCCGGCACAGAAACGGAAAGTGCGCTGCAGCAACAGAAACCGAAAATACTCACACCACCGTTCGTACCGGGAGCCTTGGCGTTGAGAGCTGGTTACGTCACCCCGCGCTCGTGGGAGCCTTGGGGTTCAGAGATGGTTGCGTTGCCGCCCGTTCCTGAGCCTTGGCTGGGCCTTGGTGTCAGGAACTTGTTGCGTCATCGCTCCATGCTGGGAGCCTGGGTCTTATCAGCTTGTTTACGTCACCGTTCGCTCCTAGGAGCCTTGGTGTGAAGAGCTTTTTGCATTACCGATCGCTCTTGGCGTCTCTGGGCCTTCGTGGGAGTCCTAATGGGGTTCTTTTCGGGCCCTCCTGGTGGTCGGGGGCCTCTTGGGGCTTCTTGGGGGTTTGTGGGGGCCTCCCGGGAGCGTCTTTGGGCGAAAGGCCAGACTGTCGGGTTCGTGGTCCCCCTCTTGGGGCCGTCTTGGGGCCCTCTTGGGCAGTCTTGGGCGCCTCTTGGGCCGTCTGGGAGCCCTCTTGAGCCGTTTTGGGGGCCGTCTTGGGGCGGTCTTGGGGCGGTCTTGGGGGGCTCTTGGGCCGTCGTCAACGCCGTAAAAGCCGAAAAGCCGTGCATGCTAGAAATGTACGTTTTCCCATGGGAAATCTATGAGTGGCCTCCTGTTCGCCTCGTGGCACGCCTCTTGGGGGTCTCTTGGGGCTTCTTGGCGGGCTGTGGGGACCTCCCGGGAGCGTCTTGGGACGATAGGCTAGACTTTGCGGTTCGTGGTCCCCCCTTCGGGGCCGTCCTGGGGCCCTCTTGGGCCGTCTTAGGCGCCTCTTGGGCCGTCTGGGGGCCCCCTTGGGCCGTTTTGGGGGCCTCTTGGGAGCCTCTGGGGCCGTCTTGAGGCGGTCTTGGGGGCCTCTTGGAAAATCTATGGAAAATATACATTTCTTTTGGAAATCGATGATTTGGGCCTCTTGGGGCCCTCTAGGGACGCCCCTTAGGCGCCTCTTGGGGGCCTCTTGGGGGCCTCTTGGGCCGTCTTGGGCGGTCTTGGGCGGTCTTGGGCTCTTCTGGGACGGAAAAGGAAAGAAATCAGAAAAGCATGCAAAAACCCAAGGGAAAAGCCCAAAACGGCCATTCGAATTCATCCGCTCGCGCTACGCCCCCCCCCTGGAACCCCCCCTTAAGGGGCTTCGCCCGACACACACGTCATCGCTCGTACCTCGCTCTTTCCATTACCTGGGCCCGGCACAGAAACGGGAAGAGCGCTTCGACAACTTGGCCGAAATTACTCACACCACCGTTCGTACTAGGAGCCTTGGCGTTGAGAGCTTGTTACGTCACCCCGCTCTCTTGGGAGCCTTGGTGTTCAGAGATTGTTGCGTTGCCGCCCGTTCCTGAGCCTTGGCTGGGCCTTGGTGTCAGGAACTTGTTACGTCACCGCTCCCTGCTGGGAGCCGTGATCGTATCAGCTTGTTTACGTCACCGTTCGCTCTTGGGAGCCTTGGTGTGAAGAGCTTTTTGCGTTCCCGATCGCTCTTTATTTGACTTCTCTGAGCCTTCTTGGGAGTCCTATTGCAGCCCTTTTCGAGCCCCTTCGGGGGCATCTTGGGAGCCTCTTGGGGGCCTCTTGGGGCTTCTTGGGGGGCCCTTGGGGCCGCCTGGAAGCTTCTTAGGGCGAAAGGTTAAACTTTTCGGTTCGTGGTCCCCCTCTTGGGGCCGTCTTGGGGCCCTCTTTGGCAGTCTTGGGCGCCTCTTGGGCCGTCTTGGGGCCCCCTTGGGCCGTTTTGGGGGCCTCTTGGGAGCCTCTGGGGCCTCTTGGGGCGCTCTTGGGGGCCTCTTGGACCGTCGTCAACGCCGTGGAAGCCGCAAAGCCGTGCATGCTAAAAATGTCACTTCTTACCTAACAGCGAAGACTGATAGGTTTCTAATGGTCTAAAAAGAGAGCAGCACATTACTTCAACATTACTTCAACATTACTCCACAGGGGGGTCTGGGCAGCCGTTGGGGGCAGTTGGGGGGCAGTTGGGGGGATGTTGGGGTTTGCCGGCGGGGATCGTTTTTCGCATACCGTCACACACTTCGTGCCCACTTCGTGCTCTTCGATTTCCCAGAACTCCATTCCCGGGCCACATTTTGGATGCCCGGAGCCAACTGTAGGCCACTTCGTGCTCTTCGATTTCCCAGAACTCCATTCCCGGGCCACATTTTGGATGCCCGGAGCCAACTGTAGGCCACTTCGTGCTCTTCGATTTCCCAGAACTCCATTCCCGGGCCACATTTTGGATGCCCGGAGCCAACTGTAGGCCACTTCGTGTTCTTCGAGTTCCCAGAACTCCATTCCCGGGCCACATTTTGAATGCCCGGAGCCAACTGTAGGCCACTTCGTGATCTTCGAGTTCCCAGAATCCATTCCTGGGCATGATTTTGAATGCCCGGAGCCAACTGTAGGCCACTTCGTGTTCTTCGAGTTCCCAGAATTCCATTCCCGGGCCACATTTTGAATGCTGAGGCAGGCTGAGGCTGAGGCTGAGGCAGGCTGAGGCTGAGGCAGGCTGAGGCTGAGGCCGAGGCTGAAGGCAGACTGAGGCTGAGGCTGAAGCAGGCTGAGGCTGAGGCTGAGGCAGGCTGAGGCTGAGGCTGAGGCTGAGGCAGGCTGAGGCTGAGGCTGAGGCTGAGGCTGAGGCTGAGGCTGAGGCTGAGGGCTGAGGCTGAGGCTGAGGCTGAGGCTGAGGCTGAGGCTGAGGCTGAGGCAGGCTGAGGCTGAGGCTGAGGCTGAGGCTGAAGCTGAGGCTGAGGCTGAGGCTGAGGCAGGCTGAGGCTGAGGCTGAGGCTGAGCAGCTGAGGCTGAGGCTGAGGCAGGCTGAGGCTGAGGCTGAGGCAGGCTGATGCTGAGGCAGGCTGAGGCTGAGGCTGAGGCTGAGGCTGAGGCTGAGGCAGGCTGAGGCTGAGGCAGGCTGAGGCTGAGGCCGAGGCTGAAGGCAGACTGAGGCTGAGGCTGAAGCAGGCTGAGGCTGAGGCAGAGGCAGGCTGAGGCTGAGGCTGAGGCTGATGCTGAGGCAGGCTGAGGCTGAGGCTGAGGCTGATGCAGGCTGAGGCTGAGGCAGGCTGAGGCTGAGGCCGAGGCTGAAGGCAGACTGAGGCTGAGGCTGAAGCAGGCTGAGGCTGAGGCAGAGGCAGGCTGAGGCTGAGGCTGAGGCAGGCTGATGCTGAGGCAGGCTGAGGCTGAGGCTGAGGCTGATGCAGGCTGAGGCTGAGGCAGGCTGAGGCTGAGGCCGAGGCTGAAGGCAGACTGAGGCTGAGGCTGAAGCAGGCTGAGGCTGAGGCTGAGGCAGGCTGAGGCTGAGGCTGAGGCAGGCTGATGCTGAGGCAGGCTGAGGCTGAGGCTGAGGCTGATGCAGGCTGAGGCTGAGGCAGGCTGAGGCTGAGGCTGAGGCTGAGGCTGAAGGCAGACTGAGGCTGAGGCTGAAGCAGGCTGAGGCTGAGGCTGAGGCAGGCTGAGGCTGAGGCTGAGCAGGCTGAGCTGAGGCAGGCTGAGGCTGAGGCTGAGGCTGATGCAGGCTGAGGCTGAGGCAGGCTGAGGCTGAGGCCGAGGCTGAAGGCAGACTGAGGCTGAGGCTGAAGCAGGCTGAGGCTGAGGCTGAGGCAGGCTGGCTGAGGCTGAGGCAGGCTGATGCTGAGGCAGGCTGAGGCTGAGGCTGAGGCTGATGCAGGCTGAGGCTGAGGCAGGCTGAGGCTGAGGCCGAGGCTGAAGGCAGACTGAGGCTGAGGCTGAAGCAGGCTGAGGCTGAGGCTGAGGCAGGCTGAGGCTGAGGCTGAGGCAGGCTGATGCTGAGGCAGGCTGAGGCTGAGGCTGAGGCTGATGCAGGCTGAGGCTGAGGCAGGCTGAGGCTGAGGCCGAGGCTGAGGCCTGAGGCTGAGGCAGGCTGAGGCTGAGGCTGAGGCTGAGGCTGAGGCTGAAGCAGGCTGAGGCTGAGGCTGAGGCAGGCTGAGGCTGAGGCAGGCTGAGGCTGAGGCTGAGGCAGGCTGAGGCTGAGGCTGTGACTGCGACTGCCGTTGCCACTGCGACTGTCATCGCGAATGCGACTACGACTGCGAGAACAGCAGAATTCTACAACTGGATTCTCATCCGAATCGTAAGGGGAATGCTTCCAGATATGATCCTACACATCGATGTTAGGTTGCTTTGCCGGGATAATCCCATGGGATATCAATGATTTTGGCCTCCTGGTGGCCTCTTGGGACGCCTCTTGGGGGCCTCTTGGGGCTTCTTGGGGGGCCCTTGGGGCCTCCTGGGAGCGTCTTGGGGCGAAAGGCTAAACTTTTCGGTTCGTGGTCCCCCTCTTGAGGCCGTCTTGGGGCCTTCTTGGGGTGTCTTGGGCGCCTCTTGGGCCGTCTTTGGGCCCTCTTGGGCAATTTTGGAGGCCTCTTGGGAGCCTCTGGGACCGTCTTGGGGCGATCTTGGGGGCCTCTTGGGCCGTCGTCAACGCCGTGAAAGCCGAAAAGCCGTATATGCCAAAAATGCACGTTTCCCTTTGGAAAATTAATGATTCTGGCCTCTTGGGACCCTCTTGGGACGCCCCTTGGGCGCCTCTTGGGAGCCTCTTGGGGACCTCTTGCGCCGTCTTGGGCGGTCTTGAGCTCTCTTGGAGCCTCCTGGGAGCGTCTTGGGGCGAAAGGTTAGACTTTTCGGTTCGTGGTCCCCCTCTTGGGGCCGTCTTGGGGCCCTTTTGGGCCGTCTTGGGCGCCTCTTGGGCCGTCTGGGGGCCCTCTTGGGCCGTCCTGGGGGCCTCTTGGGAGCCTCTGGGGCCCTCTTGGGGCTCTTGGGGGCCTCTTGGACCGTCGTCAACGCCGTGGAAGAAGGAAAGCCGTGCATGCTAAAAATGTCACTTTTCCCATGGGAAATCAATGACTTTGGCCTCCTGGTGGCCTCTTGGGACCACTCTTGGGGGCCTCTTGGGGCTTCTTGGGGGGCTCTTGGGACCTCCTGGGAGCATCTTGGGGCGAAAGGCTAGACTTTTCGGTTCGTGGTCCCCCTCTTGGGGCCGTCTTGGGGCCCTCTTGGGCCGTCTTGGGCGCCTCTTGGACCGTCTTGGGGCCCTCTTGGGCCGTTTTGGGGGCCTCTTGGGAGCCTCTGGGGCCCTCTTGGGGCGGTCTTGGGTCGGCGTCGGTGCACGCCGCGACGAGACGACGCCTGGCAGGGTCCGCCAGCCGTGCCGCGGCTGGCGCGACTGGCGGGCCAGGCCTTCGGCCGCGGTCACGCCAGGGAGCAGCGCGTTGAACATCGGCCCGACAGCGCCGAGGAGGCCAGCATCCAGGCGCCCCAGGGACTCGCTACCTCTGGCCTGGCGCCAGCGCTCCACCGGAGCTTCGTGGTTGTTCTCGAGCGGCCTGCTTCGATGCGGGGCCAGTTCAGTGGAGTGAGGGTGGCCGAACGGTCATTCACTGTGCCTGGGCGCGTTGCCGAAGTGGGGTTCCACGGTGCGGACTGCTGCTGTTTCGCTGTTGTTGCTGTTGTTGTTGTCGTCCTTCCCGCAACCCACTGGCACCCCACCCCGCGCCCGCCCCCTCACTCGTATCCGCAACTGCGGGGTGCCACGTGTACACCGCCACCGCTCGCAAAAAGTGGCACAACTGGTCGGAGTGAGGGCCGTACCTGACGACGCCACGCCTCCGCGGCGGTTGCCCACAAGAGCCAGACTGCGCCAAGACGGATCGCGCGCTTCTGAGGGCAAACAACTGTGCTCGGATTCGAAGCTCCCTGGTCCTTCTAAGAAGACCCCCGCCTTCGTCGTCGTCGTCGTCGTCGTCGTCGTCCTCGTCCTCGTCCTCGTCCTCGTCCTCGTCCTCGTCCTCGTCCTCGTCCTTCCCTTCCTCGCTCGGAGCCACAGGTAACGGTAACGCCAGGGCGGGGTGGGGCACGTCGGGGCGGGGGGGCGCTGCGATCGCCATTGTACGCACGCGGGCACCAGCATGGGGGCGGGGGGGGGGGCGGGGAGGGGAGAGGAGGCCGGGTAGCGACTGTTCTAGGGGAACACAAAGTGACATAGACATAAAAACTCGGAGGTCCGCGCGAATTTCTCGCATCGGCGCTGGACCCCCCTCCTTGGCGCGCGGAGCGCTGGGGCCCAGCGCCGATCCGAGAAATCCACGCGGACCTCCGAGTTGTTATGCTTATGTCACGCGTTGTTCCCCTATGTTCTGTTGCGCGCAGAAGAATTTTCAAGCCAGGAAAAAAATCTCGCGCCCTCCTCCATGCCGATGGCCGACAGGTAGTCGCACGCCGCGCCCAGCGCCACGGCCTCCGCAAAGGCGGGCGTGCCGGCCTCCAGCCTCACGCGGGGGTCAGGCTGTCCCCCGAGGGCCCCCTCTCCCCCTCCGCTTATGATTATACTTCTTCTTAGTACGATTAGTGCTAGCATTATACTTGTTATTATTCTTACGACTATCAATATTGTTATTGAGAATCTTACTCTAACGATTGATATTATTCTACATTTCATGATTATTATTATTCCTTCTCCTCCTCCTACTCCTCCTCCTCCTCGTCCTCCTCCTCATCATCACACTCACCCTCACCCTCATCCTCATCCTCATGATCATCATCACCATCATCAGCATCATCATCACCATCACCGTCGTCACCATCACCATCATCACCATCGTCATCATCATCATCATCATCATCAGCAGCAGCAGCATCATCACCATCAGCAGCAGCATCATCATGATCATCATCAGCAGCATCAACATCATCAGCAACATCATGATCATCACCACCATAATAACCGTCATCGTCATCGTCATCGCCATCGTCATCGTCGTCGTAATCGTCATCGTCGTCGTCATCATCATCGTCATCATCATCATCACCACCAGCATCCTTTTCGTCCACCACCATCATCATCATCATCATCATCATCATCATCATCACCATCGCCATCGTCATCGTCATCGTCATCGTCGTCCTTATTAGCATTCGCCTCCTCCTCCGCCTCCATCTCCTCCTCCTCCTCCTCCTCCTCCTCCTGCTCCTCCGACGGCAGTCCTCTTCAGGGGGACTTCCCAAGGAATGAGGGGACAGGAAACCATGTCCTCCTCCCCCCCATCAAGATCACCATCATCATCACACTCATCCTCATCATCGTCATCATCAGCATCATCATCACCTTCATCGTCATCGCCAGCATCATCATCATCATCATCATCATCATCATCATCATCATCATCACCATCGTCCGCACGGTCATCAACAGAATCGGCAGCAGCAGCACCATCATCATCAGCATCAGCATCAGAATCAGCATCATCAGCATCGTCAGCAACAAGAGCATCAGCATCATCATCATCATCATCACCCATCATCACCATCACCGCCGTCGCCACTACCATCATCACATTCGGCATCAGCAACAACAACAACATCATCATCATCATCATCATCATCACCCATCATCACCATCACCGTCGTCGCCACTACCATCATCACATTCGGCATCAGCAACAACAACAACAACATCATCATCATCATCATCATCATCATCATCATCATGGTCATGATCATCATCAGCAGCTTCAGCATCGCCATCATCATCAGCATCAGCACCAGCATCAACATCATCAGCATCAGAATCGTCATCATCAGCATAACCATCATCGTCATCGTCATCGTCATCATCATCATCGTCGTCGTCATCAGCATCATCACCGGCATCACCATTCTCACCACCATCGTCATCATCATATCAGCATCACGTTCGTACATCATCATCATCATCATCATCATCAGCATCATCATCATCATCATCACCATCAGCACAAACATCCTCATATTCAGCACCATCAGCATCAACACCATCATCATCACCATCATCATCGTCAGCATCATCAGCATTCATCCTCATCAGCATTCGCTTCCTCCTCCGCCTCCTCCTTCGCCTCCTCCTCCCCTCCTCCTCCTCCGACGGCAGTCCCCCCCAAGTGGGACTTCCCCAAGGATCAGGGAACAGGAGACCATCTGAAGCCCTAACCAAGCCGTGATGGAGGAGCTTCCCAGAGTTCGGTGAGGGAGGTTCCCCTCGAAGGAAAATCACCCGACCAATCCCAGATTGCCCCCTCCTCCGTGGGCTGGTTCGGGCTTCCCTGCTCCTCAAGGGAGGCGCTACCCAAACGCTACGTGTGGAGCTCCATTCAGACACCTCAGGGCCGCTCGGAGAGCATAGGGGAGGTTGGCTGACCTGTGACACGCACTGAAACGAAGAAGGCGCAGCCCCCCGCTTTCGTCGCTTGGAGGCGGGCGAGCTCAGCCGCGCCTGGCCTGACGTTCGCCTGGCGCTCCGCTGAATGCTCCGACCAACAGTAGACCGCGCCTGACGTTGGTCGGGTGCGGCGCTTGCTGCAAAAAGTCGCTTAGACTGTCCTGATGGGGGTCCTGACGGTTCGAGCAGCTTCTGGGTGGTCTTGTTCCCTCCCCCCTCTCCTCCTCCTCCTCCTCCTCCTCCTCCTCCTCCTCCTCCTCCTCCTCCTCCTCCTCCTCCTCCTCCTCCTCCTCCTCCTCCTCCTCACCCTTGCTCGTCTTCCCTCCCTTCCTCCTCATCCTTCCTCCTCCATCCATCCCCCCCCGAGCTGATCTTGGCTCCCCCCCCACGCAATGCAGCATCCATGCATTCTACCGCACTCTCTTCCACAATACATTTGTTGTGGCGTACCCACACACGACGATCTTGGGGCAGGAACGCCCCGGGACGCACTCGCCCCTTGTGGGCCCATGACTTCATGTCTTAGAACTGCGCCATACAGTCCTATGCCCATGGTGGAAGTCGATAGACCCTCTCACGCAGATATGTGAAAGGGGCCCCAGGACACACAAATAAATACACACAAATAAAAATATTCCCCATAGTTTCCCATAGTTTCTGGGTGTTCGCGTTCCCACCCCCACTTCCCATATTCTCCCATATTTTCTGGGGAATCGACGATGAAGTGTGTCTGTGTGTTTCTTTCCCTCCTGATCCACGCAGGTGCGCTTGGCTCGGCAGGCACCCGCCTCCGTGCAGCAGCACGGCGCACCCGTGCAGGAGTGGCTGCTCGAACGAGAGGGAGCTATGGTGGTGCTGCGGGGTGGGCCGCCGCCCCGCTCTCGAGTCGCTCGGCAGGGGGTGCACGCGGACGGTGTCGTCACGGCCGAGGAGAGGTACAATCGGGGCGTTGACCCAAAGAACCCTACATAAGGAACGAGGCCCCTGTTTTCCATAAGTCAAACTTCGAGTTCGTATCGAAAAACAAAGGAAAATCTAGGGCAAGCTGCGAAACAATTAAGGAGACACGGAGCCCCTCCCCAACGAAAAGGGTTCCTTCTTCAGCGCCCCGACTGTATCCGCACGATGGCGACCCCACCACCATCGGTGCAGGGACGAGGAATCGCGGTTCGCATCGCTCGAGGACCGTTGGACCTGGCGGCGGTGCTGCTGTATCTGTCCCCACTCAAAGGATGACTGTGCCCGCAAGCGGCGGGCGTTGGAGGAAGACTCTCGCGAACTTGGTCGCTGGGCAACGCAGCTGATCTCCTCAGCCCCATCGCGGTCCGCACCGATCTCGATGGGAGACTTGAAAACTGGCACCGCACTAAAAAATATGACCCATCATGCCTCGGACTTTCTCCGCTGAGGCCCCGAATCACATCGACAACATCGGCGGCCACAACCTTGGCAACCAGACCGTCATTGGGGATCAGCTGTGGGAGGACGTGATCGTACCTCATAAAGGATGAGTGTTGGCAGTTTCTACTCTCGGGCAGGCCCAGCCTTGTACCACTTCGGCGGCTCGACCAACACGGCGGACCACACTATGATACCGATGTCGCTTCACGAGCAAGTTCGTCGAGTATTCGACCAATGGAGCTCTGCACGGCGACTGCAGATCATACCTAGTGCGACTCCGCGGGGCCAGGTGCCGATTATCACGGAGCTGTCAATCTACCAACATCGCCACCGCCCGCCACAGGAACCTCGATGGGATCGTGACAAGTTGGCGGCAGCATTGCAGGACCAGCGCTAACAGACTGGAGTTTCAAAATGCACTCGAGACTACGCTCACAGAGTGCACCTCCCTGTCCGCGTACGGATCGACGGGCGACGTCGGCAGACGTTGGCAGCGATGGGCGGGCCTGGTGCGCACGTATGCTCAGCAGTTCCTCGGCAAGACTGAAGAGGCCCTGGGACACACAAATAGATAGACACGAATAGATAGACACGAATAACTGGACTCCCCATGGTTTCCCACATGTTCTGTTTTTTTGTCTTCCCCCCTACTTCCAATATTTTCCCATATCTTCTGGCGATCGACGATTCATTGTGCCTGTGTGTTTTTGCCCCTCCGGGTCCCTGGCAGCTGCAGCTTGCACCCCCCCTGCGCCAGCGCGCCCGCCGAGGCGCTGCTGAGGCCGCCGGCCCGTCGGCGTTGGGCAATTCGGCTCTTGCGCGGCCCGCTCGAACCTGACTCGCCGCTGGCGCTCTCGCCTGCGGTCGCGACAAAAAGTTCTTGCCCCTCCCGAAAAGCCCCCACGCCAGAACATCGAGCGGCTCAACAACCGTAGGGGAGCGGCGTTGGGGGGCTCTGTCCGTCGGCGCGCGGGGGCGCGCGCGGGGCTGGGAGGGCAGGGGGAGGAGCGAGCGGGAGTCCTGAGGCACCAAGCCATCGTCTTCCCGATCTCAGGATTTCTGCTGGCCGAAATCATCTCCCCGATCTCAGGATTTCTTCCATCATCTTCCCGATCTTCCCGATCTTCCGAAACCATCATCTTCCCGATCTCCGGATTTCCTGGCAGAAATCCGCCATCTGAGCATCAGAAGCTGCAGGATCTCCGAACGGAAGAGCTCAGGATTGTGAGGGCGCAACAGTCACGTTGATTCGCAGTGTGAGGTCCCAGGAACAGCGTTCTGGCACGAGGATCGTCAAGACGTAAGAGTCAAGTGACGTTCAAGTCCTGGGAATAATGTTGTCGCACGCTTCATGGTCTTCAAACGATTGTCTCCCAACGAGGCAGTTCCCTCTGCGGGAGTGAACCCTTGTAGGGGGCCTATGAAGAATGAGCTTGGAGGGAGGGTCTATTCAAACATCGTTGACGAGTCTTGGTCTTCTACTGGTCCTCATCCTCCTCCTCCTCCTCCTCCTCCTGTTTCTGTTTCGACGCTCTCAAACACGACAAGGCCAGGCCACCTCGCGACAACGGAAAAGGCGCGAGCCTCAGTGAATGGCAACTATCTCAACTGTGTAATAAAATTCCAAATGAAAGCAGCACAAGAGTCGACAGTCATCAACTCCGCGACAAAAGATGGCACTGCTGTGCTGTAGTGTACTCTTGCCATTGCTAGAGTCTGCTTGGTCACCCGCCCGTCGGTCGTCCAGTGTGCCTCTAGGACCCAAGCTGACGAAAAGCAAGTGGATCCACGTCGACCGCCGTCGCAATGGATGATGAAGCTAGCGTCCGTATACGACAATTCGCACCTTGCTGGGTATACCTTCTGCCAGGAGGTCGACATATCCATTGTCACGTTCCCCCTCCTCTTCCTCCTCCTCCTCCTCCTCCACCTCCTCCTCCCCAGCCCTCTGTCACCTAACTCCTGATTCCTGATGGCGTGAGGAATCGTCGATTGCCGCCCTCCTCTGCCACCTCATTCTCCTCCTTCCTCCTCCTCCCTCCCCTGGGCGGTCGGCCGGGCGGCCGGCGGGAGGGGCGCGGAGCGCGCTTGTGGGGGATGTCCGCGTAAGTGGAGCCCTCCAGGCTGACCTGCTCGCCCCGCCATTCTCTGACGTGCCTCCCCCCGCCTGCTCCGCCTTATCCCACATGCTCGTGATCCTGCTCCCGCCTCTCTCCTCATCTTCCCCGTCCTCGCACCAGGCGTCGCCATCACCCGAGATTCCCCATCCTGCTCCTCCTCCTCCTCCTCCTCCTCCTCCTCCTCCTCCTCCTCTTCCTCGTCTTCCCCCTCCCTCTTTTCTTCCTCCTCCTCCTCCGAGGCCAAGTGTTTGGGCGGGCCGGGCATTTCGCTTGAGATTTCCTCACCATTTATAATTCTGAAGCGTAACCATTCGCAACAGTTTCACAGATGGAGGGCGGGTCGTTTTCAAAATGTGGCTCTCGCCTGAGCGCGGCGAAAACTTGCAACAGCTTCACGGATTGAGGGCGGGTGGTTTTCAAAATGTGGCTCTCGCCTAAGCGCGGCGCAGATTCGCTTTAGAAATTCGTAAGAGCTTCACGGATTGAGGGTGGTGTTCAAAATGTGGCTCTCGCCTCAGCGCGGCGCACATTGAATAATTTGCACGAACTTCATGGATTGAGGACGGTTCCGTTTCAAAATGTGGCTCTCGCCTTAGCGCGTCGCACACTGGTTGTAAAAAATTGTAAGAGGTTCACGGGTTTGTTTCATCAACGAGCCAAAAATGCTGCTTTGAAAGGATTCAGGGCTATGGGGGTGCAACAGTTATTCTCTACCTAGGCTCTGCCTAGAAGGGTTCTTACTCTCTGGGCTTAAAGGGGCCGGGCAGTGTAAAGCGCCCCGGGCGGTTCCCCCAGTATCCGCCCCGCGGTTCCCCCAGTTACGTCCACTTAGCTTAGCGTTGCTTATCTCATCTTAGCTTACCTTAGCATTGGTGTAATTCCCTACCTAGGCTCTGCGTAGAGGGTTAGTTTAGCTTGGCTTAGTTTAGCTTAGTTCAGCTTAGCTTAGCATAGCGCAGCGCTGCATGAGCATAGCATAGCATAGCCTAGCATAGCCGAGCATAGCATAGCATAGCATATCATAGCGCAGCATAGCATCGCATAGCTTAGCATAGCATAGCATAGCATAGCATATCATAGCATAGCATAGCGCAATTTAGCATAGCATTGCATAGCACAGCTTAGCTTAGCATAGCACAGCGCAGCATAACAAAGCATAGTTTAGCATAGCATAGCATAGCATAGCATAGCATAGCGCAGCATAGCATAGCACAGCACAGCACAGCACAGCATAGCATAGCATAGCATAGCATAGCGCAGCATAGCATGGCATAGCATAGCATAGCATAGCATAGCAACTAATGCTGCTTTCCTAGGGGCTCCAACTTCTAGGTAGGGTCGCACTGGGGTAATGTTAGTTCGCTGTATTGAAATCCCAGGAACGGCGCGCTGGCACGACCCAGGATTGTCAAGACGCAACAGTCAGGTTGATCCCTGGCGTTTGAATCCTGAGAACACTGTTCCCTACCTAGGCTCTGCCTAGAAGGGTTCTTACTCTCTGGGCTTAAAGGGGCTGGGCAGTGGAAAGCGTCCCGGGCGGTTCCCCCAGTATCCGCCCCGCGGTTCCCCCAGTTACGTCCCCTTAGCTTAGCGTTGCTTATCTCATCTTAGCTTAGCCTAGCTCAACTTAGCTTAGCTGAGCTTAGCTTAGCTTAGCCTAGCCTAGCTTAGCTTAGCTTAGCTTAGTTTAGCCTAGCCTAGCTTGGCTTAGCTTAGCTTAGCTCAGTTTAGCTTAGCTTAGCGCAGCCTTAGCATAGCATAGCATAGTATATCATAGCGTAGCATAACATTGAATAGCATGGCGCAGCATAGTATAGCGCAGCATAACATAGCATAGCATAGCATAGCATGTGTACATGTAGATGTAGCTGTAGGTTTAGCTGTGGATGTAGGTCTAGATGTAGATGTAGGTATTAAGCTGTACTACTACGACGACTACTACTACTACTACTACCACCACCACCACCACCACCACCACCACCACCACCACCACCACCACTACTACTACTACTACTACTACTACTACTGCTACTGCTACTGCTACTGCTACTACTGCTACTGCTACTGCTACTACTACTACTACTACTACTTCTACTACTACTACTACTACTACTACTACTACTACTACTACTACTACTACTACTACTACTACTACGCTACGGCTACGGCGTTTACCGTTACTACTAATGTTGCTCCCCTCGGGGCTCCAACTCCTAGGTAGGGTCGCTCTGGGATAAGTTTGGTATGCTTCAGGGTCTTAAAACGGTTGTTGTCCCAAGAAGCAGTTCCCCCAATGGACATGAAGCGTTGTAGAGGCCTACGACGAGGGAGCTTGGAGGGATGGTTTATTCCAACATCGTTGATGACTCGTGGGTTTACACTGGTCCTCTCATCCTCCTCTCATCCTCCTCCTCCTCGTCCTCCTCATATTCCTCCTACATGCTCATTATCCTGTTCCCCTCCTCCCTCATCATCTGCCTCGTCCTCGCAATAGTCGTCAGCATCACTATTATCGCCACCGCCGTTGACCATCACAAGACTACTGGTTGCCAGGATACCTTAATATACTGTGTATTGTAAGCTATGCGATGCAAGCTGCGTGGTGCAAGTTGTTTGGTGCAATAGATGTGATGTAAGCTATGCGGTGCAAGTTGTGCGGTGCAAGTTGTGTGACGCAAGAAATGTACTGCAAGCTACGCGGCGCAAGCTACGCGGCGCAAGCTATGTGGTGCAAGCTGCACGGTGCGAAATATCTGGTGTAAGCTGTGTGGTGGTAGCTGTTTCGCGTAAACTCTGTGGTGCAAACTGTACGGTGCAATGAGTGTGGTGCAAGCTGTATGGTAAAGTTGTGTGGTGCAAGCTCTGTGGTGCATTTGTTTGTTCCCCCGAAAGGGCTCCTGCTTTCAGCGGAGGCCAGTTCGCTCCCGCTGGGTGGCGCTGGTGCCCTTTTTTGTTCCGCCTCCTGAAGGCATCCTGGCACATTGCCACTTGCGACACCAGCAAAGCAAAATCGAGCGCAAATAATTTGAATCGCCCGAATCCTCCGCAGCACCTTGGATGGTTGAGGAGAACAGCGGGGCCACTCCAGTCCTCGACGCCTGGGCAACCGCTCGAAGGATCTCACCGTCGGGCAAAACTGCCCTCGGGCTCGGGGCAGAGCGGGAGGCAGGAGCGGGAGGCATGTGCGGGAGGCACGGGTGGGGTTGGGCCACGCTCCTTGGCGCGCCTTCTCTGCTCCTTTTGCGCAGCCTGAATGGTAGACAACCGGGGGCCCTCGAGCAAGGCCGCCTCCTGCCGTCGGTCCGTAGGATGACGTCCTGGAAGCAGTTTGTTGAGACCATCTCTTCTGCCCCCTCTCTCGGGAAGGCCTTGGCATTGTGAGGGCAGCTTCTTTACACCGTGAGGTGTATATAGCCCGCACATCACACAAAAGAACTTAGGAGCATATTTGGTGTACGCCACAGCCATGGCGGGCGATTGGTGAATACGCTCGAGACCGAGCCGAAACGCGGAACAGAAAGGCTGGCAGGCTTCGCGCTCACGAGCAACTGCCGCCTCGTACGAGCGAATGCGAAACATGATGCGCAACGATACTTGACTACTCTGCTGGGCAGATCCCACTGATGGACCACGAGACATGAGTAGGTCTTCCTGGGAACATTGGCTCTCTCGCTACTGTGCCTGTTCGTCTGAACGAGGGCCAGGACGCGAGTCGCGAACTTGGCCACGGCCCTAGTCGTGCGAGTCTTATCTTGCAGCTGTTATCCGTCTTCCAAGCGGACGTTGTTGCTCGAGCTGTGCAGCACCCATGACTTCGCGATCGCGAACACATTCTTCAACCATCCCGCAGAGGAGCAGGTCACGTGCTACAATGTCGGATCACAGCCGTCCAGCCCAGCAGTCCCAGAACATTATGGCCAAATCGACTTCTTGTTATGCTCAGGTGCACGCCTGGAGTGCGTGACAGACGTCCGAAGCAACAAAGATATAGCTCTCGCTTCTCACCATTTCTTGCTGTTGTGCTACGCCCAGCTCGACATCGACGACGCTCCCCAACCGTGCCGGCAGAAAGTCGATGTGCAGGCGCTCGCTCAAGCACCGCTCCAGCGAAGCTTCAACAACGCCTTCGCGGACTACATGGCAGCAGAGCGCCGGGAGGCCCGGCAGACGCTCGACGAGCTGAAGAATAGCATGGTTGACGCCTTCTCTGCCTCTGCTGCTGCGTGTCTGCCCCAGACCCGGCAGGCGCACAGACGCCCGTGGATCAGCGACGCCACGCTGGAACTGGTCGCAGCTAGGAACAGGGCCCGGGCGGGGGGCCATCTGGCACGCGAGAAGACTCTCAATGGCAGGATAAAAGCTTCTGTGAAGAACGACAAGAGCATCTGGCTGGACAAGCGACTGCAGACCAGAGCTTGGGACGAAGTCCGAAAGTTGCGCAAAGGTTCGACGGCCACGCAGGGCCGAACGCAGGACTCACAAGGGCGTCTTGTAGACAGCGACCTGAGAGCGCAAACTCTGGCAGAATATTTCGAGAACGTGCAGTGGGCAGTGAGGCCGACTACGGTTGTCGACAACCCCGACCCCGAACCACTGGGGGACGCACTCCCGACAGAATTGGGGCCGATTACCGAGCAGGAAGTATGTGAAGCGGCGCGAGCTCTGAAGCGGAACCGGGCCGCGGGAAAGGACGGCATGCCAGCTGAGTTCTGGAAGGCCGTGTGCGTGGCGGAGACGCCAGCTTGCCAGTGGGCCGTCTTACTTTGCAACCGGTGTTGGCTGGAAGCAGACGTTCCCGAAGCCTGGCACGAGGCTGTCGCTTCTGCAATATTCAAGAAAGGCGATTCTTCTGACTGTGCAAATTATCGACCCATGTCCCTTCTGCCAATTGGGTACAAGTTGTACACAATGATATTGCTGTCGCGACTGAAAAAGGCAGGGGCCGAAGAACGCATATGGACCACTCAATTCGGCTTCCGATCTGGCCGGGGAACAGCGGACGCTCTGTT